TCCGCGTATATAACTCGCCCCCCCCCCCCCCCCCCCATTAGATTCTTTATATTTCCAGCCATGCTGATGGGAAAATGTCCAAGTTTGTTATAATTTGCAGGTATAGAATCTAATTATTGAAGGGTCATCTTAAAATTGTTCCCCCCACTTCTACAGTTGGGAAAGCAGAGGGACAAGTGGGTAGAGGGGGGATCAGGTGGCTCTCTGCCCCTCCCCCCATTTCTTTGCCCTGCAGCTTGCCTGCTCCTGGCAGCTTCTGCACCACTATCTACCACCCCACAGCCTCTGGCATGGCTGAGCTCTGACTCCGTTCACTCCTGGGTCATGGAGCGCACAGAAATGTGGCCCAGCCACTCAGCAGCATCCCAGGGGTGCCACTGCTGTTTGTCCAGGCAGGGAACAGAGTTCCACGCTCTGGGAAATAATGGAGCTGGAGCCAAACTAATCCTGAGTAGTGGGGCGGAGGTTAGAGGGAGCAGGTGTCTGCTGTGGCTCTGACTGACCCTGATGCAGGCTTGGGGCAAGAGTCGGAGCTGCAGCAGCCCTCGGTTTCCCCTCCTCCCACCTTGTATTTGAATCCAAAGATGAAGGGCTTTTTTCCCCCCATGCTGAATGGGGAAGAAACCACATCTTGGATATGAGTAAATATGGTGTGTTTTGGTACTCGCTTACTGCTGTGATTTCACTACTCTCTCCTATGTTATCTGTAGTTAATCTTTAGTTCCAGTTATTTAACAAGGCTAAGTTTGAAGATCAAGTCACAAAACAAATAATTTTATTTTTTTCATTTTTTTTTTTCTTTTAGAACTTGTTACAACAAGAGGTTTTTGATATTGACTGAATAGTTATCTGGCTATCATAGATACTCAATTCTGCACCGATTTACTGATGTATCTGAAAGCTTTGAAAATATGCATGTGAATCCATACCTGAATGGGCATAGTCATTATGCTGCTCCAGCCCATAACACACTTGAGTGCCCAAACTCATCTTTCTTCTTAAATTGTTTCTTTGATTGGCATTTAAAATAAGCATAAAGCAACATAAAGTTAAGCCTTAGAATTTATCATCAAGCTAGGCAGTTCTAAAGGTTATCCTTCCAAGATGTCTGTCCCAACTTCTGGTTCTCATCGTCTTAAAAGCTGTTTTTCTTTACCCATATTCAAGATGGGCTTACTTAGCCATGCTTGCCATTATGAACAGCATGAATTAGAGAGTCAGTCAGGATTTCCATATGCCTATTTGCACGATATGGCAGTATAAAATTTTATTACAAAATAATGTGGTCTTTGTAGATTTAATTTTTCTCTCTTGTTGCTCTTTTTTGGAGTGGATAAAATTTATTCTACTCGTTCCTTTCTTTCTGTCTTTTCTCTCATTTTGGGAATGGCAAAATTTGGCAATTTTTTCTTTTCTTTTACTTTAATGAGCAAGAAATGGCATAGAGGTTTTTGGCCACCCTTTTTCTTGTAGCAGATAATTTCACAGTACGAACAAAATACCAGAATGGCTTTGCCTCCGACTTCTAATCTGTTAAGAATTTTGTCCCTGAAGAACATAGCAGTTTGAGTTTATATGTGAATTTTGATCTATTTCTCCAAGGCTTGCAGAATTGGGTAATGTAATTTTAACTGTACTTTTTCATGACTTGGTTTCTCAGCTTCTTAAGGAAATCTGCTTTCTTATCTTAGTTCAGTTTGCTATTTCTCAGTCCAGATGGCAGACAAAGTTCTTTTAAGTTACAGGGTCATGTTTCAAACACTCCACAGAACACGTCACCAAAATACGTTCAAAGTTGGATTGTAGCAAGCGCTGGGCCCTAGGGATGGCCATGATGCCCCCTGCTAGCCACGCAGCATCTGCTTCACCCTGGCTCTCTGAGTACCTCCCGTCCCCTTCTTGCCTGCCATGCCCTGGTGTAATTATTTAACTTGGAAAAGGGAGGCTGCCCAGGGGTCCCAGAGTGAGCCCTCGTCCACTAACAAGCTCTGCTCTAGCACATTAAGTGCTTCAAGGGCAAATTTTTGTAGCCTTCATCCTCCGCTGCAGCCATGTCCATGCCTCACAGATGGTGCTGTCCTTTCATTTTCCTTGTTGGGACCTTGGCTTTCCTGGTTTCTGCTCCTTCCCTTTTTCTGGGCCTTCTAGCCCTTGTCACACCTGCTTTGGCTCAGGGCCCTTGGCCTCAGTATCTCTGGCCTGCTCAGGCGCTTCCCCCTGGCCCCATCTCTTCCCTGCTTGGGTGCTGGGCCCCCTCCCCTCAGCCCCATCTCTGCCCTGCTTAGGTGCTGCACCCCCTGCCCCCAGTCCTATCTCTGCCCTGCTTGGGTGCTACTGGGACCTCCTCCACCCCTGATAGTCCCAATTTAATCTGCTGGTATAAATTCCAAAATGAAAACAAACAGTTGCTGTAACTAAAACCCTTAGCCCACCAGTTATATAATCAAACTTAACCCCCCTGCCCTGGGTCATAATCCTCTGCTTGCCTCCAGCACCTTACTTGAATTTCCAGGGCACTTCAGCAGTCAGCTAGGCACTATTCTGCAGGAACTCTTTCCTCTGCAGTCTTCAGGGCCAGACTGCCTGTCCAGGCTTATATGCTCCCTAACCCCTGCTGCCTTCCAGTCATGAGGCTTCCCTTGGCTGGCTGCAGGTGTGCCCTTTAACCTAAATGAGAAGCTCGCTGCCTAGGCAGCAGTGTTTCCTTGTTACCTTCCTTCTTGCAGCCAGTCCCTGTTCAGGTGCCTGAGCTGTATCTGCTGTTGTTTCTCTCTCGAAGTAACAAGAGCATTTTGGCTCCCTGTTACAGGGATCCGCTTCGTTCAGAGCATTCTTAATGAACTGTTGACCCTCAGCAAGATTCTTTGAGTATCTTGCATGAGACTCATGTGTGAACATACTGATATATGCTGTTTGCAACAGGAATTGCATTCTTTTCATCGGTACCTTTTAAAGCTCTGTACTGGAACTTGGTAGAAATGAATTAAATTATTGTTGCTTATCGCCTCTAATGCATCTAGTTTTGACTGAAGTTTTACCTCAGCTGTATCTCATGGCAGAGAAGTTTTTTGTTTTTCAGTTAGGAATAGATCTGTTACTTTGAGCATTATAGTTTTTCAAACTACTTCATCCTCTACATTTGCATGTAGCTATGAGCACATACATGTAAATCCATTGCATGTACACATGTAACTGCAGTGACATCCCTGGAAATCTGGTTCTCTTAGCCCCAAAAATAGAGCTGGGTTGAGATCTATAAGTTTCTACAAGTATGTCCATGGCAAGAGGAGGATCAGGGAAAGTGTGGGTCCCTTACTGAATGGGGGAGGCAACTTTGTGATAGAGGAGGCAGAAAAGGCTGAAGTGCTTGGTGCCTTTTTCACCTTGGTTTTCACAGGTAAGGTCAGCTTCCAGACTACTGCACTGGGCAGCACAGTTTGCGGAGGAGGTGAGCAGCCAACACTGGCAAAAGAACAGGTTAGGGACTATTTAGAAAAGCTGAATGTGTACAAGTCCGTGGGGCTGGATGGGATGCACCCAGGGTGCTGAGGGGGTTGGCTGATGTGATTGCAGAGCCACTGGCCATCATCTCTGAAAACTCATGGCGATTAGAAGATTCTCAGATTATTGGAAAAGTGCCCGTATTGAAGAAAGGGAAAAAGGCGGATCCAGGAAACTACAGATCAGTCAGCCTCACCTCAGTCCCTGGAAAAATCATGGAGCAGATCCTCAAGGAATCCATTTCTAAGCACTTGGAGGAGAAGAAGGTTTTTTTGGAACAGTCGACATGGATTCACCAAGGACAAGTCATGCCTGACCAACCTGATTGTAGGGCTGTACAAAGCTTCAGTCGCAGGTTTGATTCAGTGGAGATTTGGCCTGATTTGGTGGCCGAATCTGAATTGAATCAGGAGACCCTTTAATCTCTCTGAATCAAATCTGAACCCTCTGAATTGATTCGGAAAGATTCAGATATTCAGACACAGACACAGCTTTCAATGTTTTTTCTACATACCTCAAGGTAGCAGGTGGCTCATGAATGCTGTGATGCTGGGGCGGATGGAGTGTCCCACAGGAGCGTGGGTGGCTCCCCAGCATGCTCAGTAGCAGACCCGGAAGTGGACCAGAAACACTTCTGGTCCACTTCCACGTCTGCTGGGGAGTGTGTGTGGGGGGGGCCCTGTGTCCCCCAGGCTTGGTGACTGGTGCCTTCTGGGTCTGGGGGGGGCACCCGGGGTCCCCCCCTCAGCCGATCACCGAGCCGAGGAGGGTGCAGGGGGTGCCCGCAGGCTCCCCAGAGGATCCGGAAGTGGACCAGAAGTATTTCCGGGTTTGCTGCTGAGCATGCGGGGGGCCCCACTGCACTCCCGTGGGACACTCCATTTGTCTCAGCATCGCAGCATTCACGAGCCATGCCTGGTTCCATGAGGTATG